ATTGGATGCTGCCTGATTCATGAATTGCTGAATAAAAGTCTACTAGATCAGTAAACTGTCTGTGGAAAATTTTCTTTTAATGGTTTATATAGACTAGAGAGAGAAGTTACCCTCCATCCTCCCATGCGGAAGAGCAGATGACACTGAGAGTTTAAGCTGTATAAGCCCTGTGCCAAACTTGGGGCTTGCAGACTTATCAGCTCCCTCCAGCCCTGAGGATACTGGGTATTAGATGCTGATGTGGAGAGGAAGGCACAGTGAGGACCGGAAATGGTTACCACTGGCTGTGTGTCGGGAAAAGGACCCGCACTGCAGATGGGTGTCTTTTCCACCCTGTACCATTCTTTGATTCTCCTCTTAATCCATTCTCTGGAGCTGCTCTCAGGCTTTCATTGGCCAAGGATGAGATCAGGATCTTGCTGATAACTCAGGTTGGCATGTGCACTGAAGCGGGGAGACCCAGGACAATATCTGCCTGAAACCTTGGCCAGTTCATGGTTCTTCAATTCCATCTAGCCCTGCCTTAAGGCTAGAGATGGTACCTGACCTGGGTGGGTACTGGAGATAAGAGAAAACAGGAGTCTATAGGTCGATCCTGGATTTGTGAGGAAAATGGATTTGTTCCAAAGCAATTACATTAGAAATCATCAAGAAGATGATTTCGCTTCCTGGAAGTTCACAGTGGCTATCCATGCGTTGGCAGCAGTAGGAAGCAGGGTACAGGTATAAGCTCTTCAGGAATTCTAGATTAGCTGGTCCTGGCTCCTCCACAGAAGGTCACGTCCTCTTGATCTTGATGAAAGTCTGCTCCTCTCACTGTCTTTCTTCTGAACCCCTGCTTATTCATCCTTGTGATGGGAATGTGGCTTCCATACCCTGGGTCCATATGAGGTTTTGAGTAATCTGACAATGCATTATACTTTTTCGAAAACTGACATCAAGACATTGTATAAGTTTGATTCTTATGTGTATACAAGTCTTCCTGAGTAGAGCTGACTAAACGTTCTTTGTGAGTTTTTGGAATAACAGGTCTGAAGACCCAGCCTGGGGCCACAGTGCAAACACTGGTCCTATCAGCCATTGAGTTTCTCACAGTGACATCCGTGCTTTGCTTCCCTAAATGCATGTAACTTGAGGTTATTATTATTACTATTATTATTATTATTATAATAAATTAATTGACAAAGGTACACATTTCTGATCAACTCTGCATCGACTGGGGGAGAATAAAACAGCAGAGACTTCTACCTCCTGTTCCTTAGGATTTCACTAAATAGAACATGCAATCAGAAAATGGGGAGAGAAAAGAAAAGGGAGAGAGGAGGAAAAGCAGAGGGAGGGTGTTGGAGGGATGCTTATTTCCAGAGCAGAGTCATTCCAAGATACCATGAGCAGCAAATTAAACGATCCTTCAGCAAGAATTTTGACAAGGGAATTTCATTAGGGATTTACATCTCTATGGAAGCTCAAGTTGCTGCATTAAGATATGAAAATTGTGCAAATATTGTTCCTTAGAATAATGTTTGCTGCAGGTCACTGAGTTTCAGTCAATGAAATTTAGAGTGATAAATATCATATTGAAAATAACTAGAGGAAGGAGGGGCCTAGGAAAGGAAGGAAAGAGCCCTGCAGTTGGGAGCTCAGGTCCCAAAGTCATGTGGATTGGAAGTTAGACTCCAGCATTAACTAGCCGTGGGACCTTGAGCAAGTTTATTTAATATCTCCGAGGCCTAATTTCTTCATCTACAAAATGTGGTCAATTGCCAGTAACTCTGCTGGACTTTGACTGTGAGGGTTTAATGAGGTAATCCAAGTAAAGTCCTTTGGCCCAGTGCCTATCACATGTAAACTCTAAACACATATTAGTATGATTACAATGATGAACAAGGAAGCAGGCTAATGTTTACCTGGAACTGACCTCCTGTCAATCATGGTGACAGATGCCTATAGGTATTATTATTGGCATTATACAGATGACAAGCCTGAGGCTCAGGGGCTTAATAAATCTGCCAAGATCACAAAGGAATAAATGTTTCCACCAGAAACAGGCCCATGCTTATGTGTCTACATGTTTTTCTCCCTCACTAGCCTTGGGGGCCTTAGAGCCTAAATCCTGTTTGTACACTTCTGTACTAAGAGAATCTGACCAATTATAGATGGCCCTTGGTGGGTGCTCAGAAAATATTTGGGGAAGGAATTAATGATTGCATAAGTAAATAGATGCATGCATAGATGAATGGGAAATAAATGCTTTTCCCATTTAAACTGTGTCACAGGGACTCATCCATAGGTTTCTCAATGTTTTGTTTTGTTTTTTTGAATTTCAACGTGTATGGTCAGGACACTCAAGATGGCTGCTCTCTGGACATCCCCTTCTCGACTAGACTAGTGTCTGCTTCACCTACACCCTACTCACCTGACTGACGTTCTTACATACTTGCCCCAGGCTCCAGCTAATGACTGTCCTAGCTTTAGATCAGAACATCTCCGCTCTGATAGCTTATCAAAGGGGCAGTGAGAAGCAGGCTGTCCCTCTGCTGGTTTCCCTGGTAACCAATGAGCCGACCTGATGTTAATTCCCCCTATAACTGGTGACCCTGCCCCCCACCCCAGCAAAGCCCGCCACCATGTTCTGCCCGCCATCTGCCACAGATGGTGGGGTCCTGCTCCAGGACCTTGCTTCAGACATGTAAGCTTCCTCATCCATTAAACCGCTGCTGTCTCTTGCTGACTCTGGGCTCTTTCTTTGGTGTTGAAGCTGGGCAAGCATAGGGCTTGCAGGCCTGTGTAGTGAGGCCCAACACAAGGCATTCTGGGATTTTGATTCACATAATGATATGTCATTTTACAGAAAACAGGATACAAAGGAAAATTTTTCATATACTTCTATAATCCCAATACTTAAAGTTCCCTTTCAGCATTTTAGTGTTTTTTTCCACCTTTGGACCAAAGAAAGTTCTTATTGCAATCTTACATGAAAATAATTTTCTAACTTGCTGTTTCACTTAATAGGACTATTTCATACAGCTCTTATTTTAATAATTTACTGGAACATGATCGATGTGCCATATAATGTTCTACTTAAACATAATCTTGTTTTTCAGAATTTGTCTCTTTTTTCACCATTGTAAGTATTGTTGAACTAAATATTTTTGTGTATGTGAGACCAAGGTTTTCAGGGTTGGTGACTCTGATCATGGGATCATTTTTCTTTGAGAAGCACACAGTCCTTATAGTGGCCTCATTCTCAGCTTTTGCAGTGATGGACTATCATATTCAACTGAATGGCAAAGGTTTGATTAGACTGTGTAAAGAAAGATTATTTTACCCATTTTGTACCATATGCAAGCCCTGTCCCAGTACCCGTACTGGACAGATATTCCACAGCTATATAGGAAAAGAGAGAGAAAGGAAGGGAGGAAGGAAGGAAGGAAAGGAGGGAGGGAGGGAGGGAGGGAAGAAGGGAGGGGAAGGGAGGAAGCATAAAGGGATGCAAGAAAATAATAAAGAGAAGAAAAGGAAAGGGGACAATAAAAGGGAAGGAAAGAGAAAGAAAGAAGGGAAGAAAAAAAAACAAAGAGGGAAGCTAAGTATAATACATCAAAGTGAATAAAAAGAGAAAGAAAGAAATCAGCACACCCACTCTTCTTTGTAAGATTTCTAGTATTCCAAATTATACGTCTCTAGCCACAACCATACCTTTTAGACATCAGCTTAGCAAGTGGCAAAAATCACAAGATAGGAAAGATTCAACACATTCTAGTAACTGCCCCCTACCTGGGAAACTCCTATAGACCAGAGCCTCACATTTCAGAGAACACAGATCATGGCTAGCTTGGTTGCTGGCTTTTAGGCAACAAACACCTTTCTCTAGGAGAGCTAAATTTGCAAAAAAAAAAAAGAGGAGTGAATGCTGTACAGTGGCAGCTTGCCTCGACAAGATAAAACACAAGCAAACTGAATTAAACAAAAATTTCCTTTTTAAAAAATATTACATTTACCCGAGGAAACATACCTAAAAATTCAAGGGGGAAATGGAAATATGCATTTTAAAAAGGTGTTGAAGGATGGCTAAACATGGTCATTATGCAGCGATGTGCACATTCACAGACCAGGCGACCTCTGGCTGTTGTCAATGCATGATAAAGTTTATGCTATGCATGTTTGGTATTCAGAGAACCAAAATATTGCCTTTACGATTTGGAAATGTCTGTCATTATCTTCACTGAACTAAACTTCTGATTCAATAGAAGTCCCCTTTTCCTTAGTGGGCAATTCAATTGTAACAGTCATTGAAAGAGCAGATTATTTACAGATAAAGTAAAAATTTCACGTTTGACCAGAATTGGGCATATTCGTAGAGAACGTTACTTTTTACTCTGTATAGAGACAGAAACTAATGAGTGGCAATATTTTGTGGTGGCAAATTGTCTTCTTTCATGAATGGAAAACAAAATAATTTGTCATTGGTACAGTAATCGCTGATACTCGAAGAGTGTTGCTAAAAATGAGGTTTTCACAGTTGGTTTGAAAACTTCTTATATAATTTTTTATGTGTATTTCCTTACTTTAGGAAGGTAAAGGTTAATAGGTTTAATATTTTCACAAATTACCAACCAGTGGGTAAGAAGCAATATGATATTATAGTTCTCATAATACTCTTTTGGATAAAAAATAAGGTCTTTTATGTTTCTATATTCTTGCTTTCATAATGGAGTGATAGTGGGGGAGTCTGAAAGCTAAGGGAGCAGGACTTGGCTGCAGTTCCCAGCAGAGGGTAGTGGTAGAGATGAATCTGGAAATCAGGCCCCATCCCTGGAGAAGACCTACACCTGGACAGAGATAGTTCTGAACAAACTTTGAATGTGAGTGTCCGTCCCCAGCGCCCACCCTTGGCAGCATTTAGAGACACAAAACTGAGATACAGCCGTCAGTGAGTTAGCAACTGTGGCTCAGAGTTTTATATTGTGTTAGAGACAGAAGAAAAACGCTTGACCTACTTGGATCCGATAAGATGGAATCAGTTTTCGGCAGAAATTGATCACAACGGACTCCTTGGTAGCCTTCTTTGCACCTGAGAAAAGGGGTAAACGACAAACATATGCATGTGTTTGTGAATGGTTCGAGATTTCAACAAGCCAAGTAGCCACCAATTATATCACCGTGAGAACAGTACATTCATGCTTTTGTATGGCTTGGTTCAGTCTGTTTCTAACATTGATAGTAGGTGAATTTTAGTCACGTCTGTGTCAAAAAACAGCAGCACTTTGCTTTTATAGTTTTACAGGTAAAATCTAATGAGCAAACTTAATAGCAATTTAAGATGCCCCTCATAGCAGTAAGAATAATGGTTACCCTCATAATTCTGCAGGATTCTTTATGCAACACACTGGTCTCTAAAAGACTGCAAATACCCTTTCAGAAAGCATCATATTGCAAGTGTTATTTTCCTAACAAAAAATCATTTTCTAACGTGATTGATCAAATATTATCAGTAGATTTGGGCTGTTTATTTTCCTTGTGTTTTACTAGTTTGTTCATTTGCTAATTTTACCTTTCTTTTTTTTTTTTTTTAAACTTAGCAATTCCTCCAGTCAGTGCCGCCTAACTGCTGGGTCAGAAATAGCAGCATTTATTTCAGATCTGGCAAGATCTGAAAGGCATCTATCTCAATGTGCAAGGCCTCTGTGCATTTTCTTTAAACTCACATTCTTCTCTCCTCATTTTTCTCTTTTGTATTCAGCAAACAGGTGCAAAGTGCGTACTTTCTGCGAGGCATTGTACAAGGCAAGTTTCCTAAGGTGGGTGCAATTTGGAGGCAGGGAATTTGCCTGAAAGCCCCTGCGATGGGGCATATAGCTTCAGCCCTGCCAGTCCACAGTCTTCTCACAGCTCGCTCAATCAAGGCTGCTTGGCCGCCTGGGACAGCCTCAGCTCATCAGCTGGCAGTTCAAGGAACAAAATACAGCTGAGGCTCCACACGCCTGCCTCTGAGCAGTCTCTGTAAGCGGGGAGGTGGCATTTAGTATATCTGCTTGAAGCTTAATCTCTCATGCTCAAGTTAAGCAGGAACACATCCATTGTTGCTTGTGGGATGAATCTGTCCTACTCACTGAGGAGGAAATTGTGCTGCTGGCATAAAAATCAGATTTAAAAAACAATCCTCTGGTTGATTAGAAATCTACAAAATCAACAAAAGAATTCAAAGAGATCATTCTGTCAGAGATGGGAGCCATGGATTCTTTCTTCAGAATATGCTTTGCTTTCTGAGTGTAATAAACACTTTATTAGATAAAGTCTATTGCAACTGGAGCAGTCACAGTGAAAGGCACCTAGGTAATTTTTCTACCTTTCATTGTGAGCTGAATTGGAATACAGGTAATGGGGCAGGCTCTCTTTAGCACCTTTTTAAGCCTGGAACGCTGGAGTGTATTTGGCAATTTTCCCTATAGATTGAGAACAAAGACTTCTGACATATGGACACCCCAAATACCCAACAGGCTATTGAGCGAACTTGCTTAAGCAGACACATATTTTCAGAACCTTTTTAAAAATTCATTTATTGCACTTGAAATAAAGCAGGCATATCACTGGTTCGATAATGGTACAAAGTCAGAAAATACTTAAGACTGAAGCACATTTGTGATGAAGGAGTAAATTCCTGTTCTCTGAAAGCTGCCCTAACATTGTTAGTTTGCCTTTATTCAAAATTACCTGAACCACAGTGTTTGGGTTTTCTTTTTCTTGTAATGATGACTTAGGTGCTGGGTGTGTGCTGTAACATGCATTTATTTACTCCTGAGGGTTTTTTTTCCAACATAGGTGGGGGATTTTAAGCACACTTCACTCTTTGTATCTTCATTTAATATGAAAGTGATATCCTAGGAAGATAGCTGCTTTTAAGGGGAAGTGCTTTTGTTTTGCTTTGCTTTTTAAGGGGTTTTTAACACTTAAAATGCATTATTCCATTTGTGTGTGGAGAAGAAAATAAGGGAAGATGTTTGAAATTTTTCTAGTCTTCAACTGATTTTCCATGACTTTGAGCCCACTCTGAAGTGTTCAGGCCTCATGGAGTATCAGGAAAATTGCACAGTGTGTTCCTTCATACTGCCTTCACACCTGTGTGCTGGTATGAAGATAAAAAAGTGTGATGATGTTGGAGCAGCCCGGCCCAGGCTAGGAAACCTGCCGAGGGCTGTGACTGGATATGCAGCAAAGCCCTGCTCCTTTGTTAAGGTGGCTGCGTCCCTGCTAATTGGTGCCGGATTTTAAGAATGACAAATTAAAATTTCCACTTAAAAATCACACGTCACCTTGGTAAGTTCAAATCCATCCAAATTTGAAGACAAAATGTGGCCAGCAGGTAAAGCCAACGAGGTGGATTGAATTTATGACACTGTTAAAGACATAAAGCAAAAGAAAAAATGTCTAAAGATGCACTTCTGTTGAACAGATTGAGTTTGGCAGACCTTCTGACAGTGTGATAAACAGCACATCTTTTGAGAAATATCATTGCATGTTTGTTTTGGTTTTTGCTAGTTGTGGGGGGATTTTGAGACTTTTTTAAGATTTTTTGTTTTCTGAGAGATACAGGTATATGAACAAGAGAAGTTCATATAACAGAAAGTTCTTTCTGTTTGTTCATCTTAATAAAGCATGACAGAATTAGTAAAATTTTACAAGTACATGTGTAATCTTTCAGGGTAAATACACGTTTGGAAAAAAAAAGCACAAATCTTGCGTTAACCAGGTTAAATACTCTATTATTTTTCTACTCTGCATTGCTTCAAAGCTCCACTGAATTCATCCACTGCCTGTTCTCTGAATTTACTTATCCCTGAGAAGGCTTGCAACATAGAAATTTTATTAAAAATATCAGTGTTCCCTGGTGGTCTTAACAGGTAAGTAAGTTTTGCTTCTACAACTAGATGGCCAAAGAACAGGAGTAGAATCGAAAAGACAGCCACGGTTTATAAAGAGTTGGGTAACGAAAATGGGAGAAGCATTATCGACAGCAGAACAACCACAAAGTCAACTCAGTCAGCAAGAGCTAAGACTTTTATTTTGAAAAAAAATTAGTCTTAAATTCTGTGTGTTCACCTACTCAGAGATGAAGGACTTGTCACTTCAGAAATCAGTTAAGTTCTTGATTGTGTTGCGTGTTTTATTTACAAATTTAAAAGGCAGTGGGGAAGGGCATCATTGAGGAGACAATGTCCAAAGCAGGGTAGGGCAGATGAAGGGTTGAAGAGAGAACTGTGGTGTGGTAACCCTGAATAAGGGAAACTGGCCCCTGGCAATGAAGTGGGGTCAGAAATTGGAGATTCTGAGCCCAGTTTAAGTGTCAGCAAAGTAGCTCTCTCGGTGAGCCTCAGGGCCAAATCACGAGCCACGTCCCTCCATTTCCACAGGGATAGGGCCAGCTGTATAGTTTCAGATGCAGACCTCACTTTTTCTACTCCTTACATCCTTCTGATTTGGCCCTCATGCCCCTCCCACTTGTTCACCTGTACCTAAAATAACAAGCCACCCCTTCTATTCATGTTTTCCCCTTCTACATCATCCCTGAAGAAAAGCCCAGTTTTAGAGAAAAGTTTTAAAAGGCAATTCTTGGGCAAAAGAAAAGAGACTAATACTGGCAAAGATAAGAAAATACAAAATGCATGATTGTCAGCTAGAAGCTAATACTCGATTTGTCTAGTGTGTTAAAGCCGAAGCAGTGAACCTAGCACTCAGCCTGGATGTGGAGGACCCCCAAGGAAGAGACTTTTTAAATGGTCAGCTCATTTGCTGATGTTCCCACAGAAATGGGCATCCTTTGGCCAGCTAAAAGTGGCTCCCATGGCCATCAGCCCACACTACTAACTTCAGACCATGCCCATCTCTTCTCTTACGATACTCACATGCCAATTTATTTCTTTGAACTCATTTTATGAATAGCAACAAATGAGAGCTAATATTAATGCTTCACTTAGTATTTGCATGGATATACTTTACGCAAACCTTTTAATATCCCTGTTCCCCACTTTAAACCCGAACAAAATGGGAATGATACCAGGAAGGAGAAAAAGTGAACAAGCACGCATGGTTGATATTACATACATGAATTTTGGCCATTTTTATGCTTAGGGACCTTCTACCTCGCGTATTTGCAGAGATGCATTTTACATAATCTACAGAGAGAAATATATGGAGGTTAGAAAAATGTTCAGATGTTTGCTTCAATCCTGGTGTAGGGCCTGGTCTCTGCATACATTTTAGAGAAAGTATACATGCTTCCTTCTTGGAAACTTGATTTTAGACATAAAATTTAAACTAGCAGAAATCAATTAACTTCACAAGAGAAATGGTGGCAAACTGTATGGTTTGTTTCCTGACTGTACCAACTTTTATTCATAGACCAAAAAACGGTCGTTACTCTTTGGTGTTACAGGAAAGTAGACACTTTGTCAGTGATGTACAAGTCTGCCAATTTTAAGGGGCCTATTAAATGCTGATTTGATAAAAGAAAAATCCCTCCAGTTTGGCAATTATCTCCTGACAATTCTCCTCAGCCTCAATGTCAGCCCTTGGTTGGGAAAAATGGAAAAATCATCAGGCGTTTAAACTTTACATTTTAGAGGCAGGGTGGTTTGGAGAACAGCCTGGTTTTAAATCCAGGATCGGCTATTTACTAGCTGCTTAGCCTTCCACTGCCTCCTTTTCTTCATCTGTAACTTGGAGATAATAATAATTGCTCCCTCCTAGAATTATTATTAGGAATAAATAACACCTGTTGTTCATGGTAAGCACTCAACACGTGTTAGTTTTTTTAAAATATTCTTTGAATTTGGAATCATCATCCCAGCTTTTCAAGTGAGGAAACGGAGGTTCAGAAAGGTTAAGCAGCTTGTTCCAAAATCACACAGCCAGTGAGTACTTGAACTAGGTACAAACTCAGCTGGAGTTGACTTTAAAGTCCTTGCTTGATCTGTGGCACTTTCTGACATTCTTCATGGAAATTCAGTAGATACATAAATCATCGTTCACCCAGGTATCTTTCCTAAGATTAGTATTTAAAAATGTGGTCCAAAT